CATAACCTCAAAAATAACTTCAATTTTCCCGCGCATCGTAAATATCGGCAACTTCGTGGTGTAGATTTTTCGGTCGCATCTAACCTCACTTTCTAAAACGCGCCAAATGAAGTATAACTTCAAAAAAAAAACAATTTGTATAACAACCACAGTAAAATTTGTCTTTACCAACATGATTTGTGGTGGTCTTGATAAATTTTCTTCATTTTTACACGAGTAAAAATAAAATGGAAATTATTGAAAGTTCGTTTGCACCTGTTGACGATGACGCTGAGAAAAAGTTAGAAATTGGGTATAATGAGAAAAAAAAACCTATTTAATTTCTTAAAAGAAAGATAGAGATATATATATATATAGAGAGAGAGAAGAAAAAAAGGAAAAAGAAAGAAACTTTATCGGTGTGTACGTGTTTGTGTCGGTGCCTTAATCGCTTTCACAGCCGGTACAGGTGACTTCTTAGGTGAGGGCAAGAAGAAGAAGAAGAAGAAGAAGAAAACGAAGTAGACGAGGACGAGGACGAAGAAGAAAGAGTAGAACGAGAATGAGGATGAAAAAGAGGAGTAGAAGGATGAGGATGAGGATGTTGATGAGGGGTTAGGGGTGTTGGGGGAGGAGGTTTCATGTAAACGCGCCAGTCAAGTTGGTATACGCTCGTATATAACTTTCAGGTGTTCCCTCTTATGCTCTTTTTGAATTCTATCGAGCACCAGTGATGGTGGTTATGGTGGTGGTGGTGGTGTTTGCGATGGTTAAAGTTGGTGGTTGCTCGTTAATGATTCTTAGCCAGTTTTACATTCACGCTCCCCCTTCTACGCGAAGTGGGAGGAAGAAGAGAAGAAGAAGAAGAAGGGGGAAGAAAGGGGGGAAGGGGGGTGACTAAGGCAAGGTGCAACAAGCCATAAAAAGGCAATGACGCGCAAGGAACGACGACGACGATGGTGACGGTGACGGTAAAATTGCGAGAAGTTTAATTATCGGTGTGAGTGAGTAAACTTCAAAAAGAAAAAGATGATTTCTAAGACACTTTGCTTATCTTACCAATCAGATTATCGAATCAGATAACTATCGAAATAATTCGTGAACTAATTTCTATGGTATGTTTTACTTTTCGTTTGAAATTAAACAGGGGATTGTTGGGAGGAGGATGATGGGGGAGGGGTACTTTGAAATAATTCATTACGATCAAAATTCATGTACGAAAATAAAAAAGAATAATGCAAATGATTGACAATGAATATGTATGGGGGTGGGACGAGTGATAGATGTAGATAACATCGAATCAATTTTTAAATCATAATTTAGTTTTGTTTAACAATCCTGATACGTTTTAATCATTTTTGTTATCTTTTTATTATTTCTTTTTTTCTTCTTTTCTTTTCTCGTCTTTTTTAGAACACAAATCACCGAACGTTTAATTACCGTCCAATATCCAATGAATAGTCATTAATCACTATACCGATAAACCGTAATTTTCCGGACGACGATAAAATCTGTCGCACGACGTACGTACTTTTACCTCTACACGCATATTATATATATATATACACTTATTATACTTGTACTCTGATAGGTTCGTTTAACTTTGCCGATAATACCATGGTCGTTTATATTGTAGTTTTATTTTATGGTGTAGAAGTTTGATTACATTTAATTTTACATTCGCGTAATTTCACTAAACCATTTAATTAATTCGTCCGAAATGTTTTCGTTATCCTATTCGTTCCCAGAAACAATCATTAGTCAAACTCGATGAAAAAATGATTATTAGTTTGAACGTAGAAAAAAAAAATAGATTTAACACTTAGACTACTATATATGCGTTTGATTATTGTTTAGAATCTTGTCCCATGAAAATTATATTAACAAACGAACACGAACAGTTTCATTTATTATTAATCAATGGAAAAATAAGTCAATAATAATGATAAACTATTTCGTATCTAAAAAAAAACACTTCAGTTAAAAGTGTTCAGCACTGAAAGGGTTAAAAGAAGATCCCAAAAAAAAAGAATCGATGCGAAAGACCTTCTCGGTAAGAAAAAGAAGATTCTCAGCGATCCTTTATCATCTAAAAGTCGTCGTATCCTATAGTACGAAAGAAAAGAAGATAAAAAGAAGAGAAGAAGGGTAGAGAAGAGAAGAGAAGAGGCATCGGTTTCTCTTCGGTAGCCCGTCTGGTTTTTTGGTAGCAGTTTGCCGTAGCTTCACCGCCACTGAGTGAGTAGGATAGCTCGTCTGCCCTAAAGGGCCAAAGAGAGTACTCTCTTTCCTTCCGAAAGGGAGGAATGGTAGATAGATCTGAAAGTAGTAGTAAAAGATACGAGTACATTTACGATTAGATCAACAACATTTTATTCGAATTTTTATCTAAAAATATGAATGAATAAAAGAAAATATATTATATATATATATATATATAATATTCATATTATATACTAAAAAATACAGTATATATATAATATACATTTTAAAATATATTTATTAAAAACAAATCATAATTTATAATTTAATTTTATTATTATTATTAATATTATTATTATTTATTCATGCATTTCGTACGTATTTGAAGATATGAAAATCGTAGAAAGTATATAGAACAAAATGTATTTGAAGTCGTGTTAAACCCATCGCTGAATTTTATACGGTACACCCGGTATATATCGGTAGATCGTGCGGGAGAAAGATCAAGCGTTCCACCCACGCCCACATCTCAACCTGTTCTGTATTTCCTCTCAAGTCGAGTCGTGGTTACAGGTGCCTCCTTCGGGGCATTCCTTGCCAAGGAATTCTTCACGGATGATCCTCTCCTCGCTTCTGCTACCTTGCAGAATCCTTTCCCCCCCGTTCCTCACCCCCGTTTCTTCCCCCTGTTCCCCCTTTCCTTAGATCGACGTTTCGTCCTCGACCACCAAGTCGAGTCTCATCGTTCTGACCGATGTATTCGATGATCTCGATACAAGATTCATCTTTAAAATCGTGGGATCATTTTTCTTCGAGCTTCTTAACATTAATTTTTTTTCTCCTCCCCCTCTTCGAGAATTAGGGTACATAGATAAAAATATCCCCAGTGTATTTTTAATATTTCGCAAATTAATTTTATATATTTTGTTGTTGTAGTCAGCAAACAATATTTCGAATACTTTTGTTTTAAAGTTGATAGGATTGTTGAGTTAAAGTACAAATCAAAGTTATTAAAAATATTTCAGTAAAAAGGGGGTAAATAAAACGATGATGACAACGAAATTAATTTTATATATTTGTTGTTGTAGTTAGCAAACAATATTTCTAATACTTTTGTTTTAAAGTTGATAGGGATGTTGAGTAAAAAAAAAAATCAAAGTGATTAAAAATATTCCAATAAAAAGGGGGTTAATAAAACGTTGATGACGGCAACAAAATTAATTTGATATTTTTTCTATTTTCTTGGCAAACAATATATCTAATATTTTTGTTTTAAAGTTGATAGGATTGTTGAGTAAAAATAAAAATCAAAGTGATTAAAAATATCCCAATAAAAAGGAAGTAAATAACGATGACGACGTCGTTGATGACGACAACGATGATGACGGAGTAAAGGAAAGGGGAAGGGAAAGAAGGGTAAGGGGGGAGAGGAACGAGCCAAGTACGCCCACACCTTTTTTCTCCTTGGGGACCTGTTCTCGGCTTTTACGTTCTGACATCTTTTCACTCCGTTTACGAGTCCCCTTTACGTTTTACGACCGATCATCGGAGCCCTTTCTCTCCGTGAGAGATTCTTTTACCGTGCGGCGGCAGGTTTCTCTCTTTCTTTCTCTGAAGACGACTATCATATGACGAGAGAGAGAAAAAGAAAATAATAATAAAGATAGAAAGGGATAAGGGAAAGGAAGAAAAAAGGGAGAGCCGGCTTTCTTTGCTTAAATGCAAAAAAAAAAAAAAAGAAAGGAAGAAAGATTTAAAGGGATAAAAAGATACACATAACGATCATTGTAAAATCATCCTAATCGATAACTCTTTTGTATTATGAAAATGATTTTCTTTATGTAAATTAAAAATTTATGTCACTTTTTTTTAAATATTTTCTTCTTGTTGTTATAAAAACTAACTGCACGTATATGTAGATTTTTGTACGTTTAATTAGATAGAGAGAAAGATTTTAATGACTGGTGAGGATAAGTAATCGAGAATTGAAGTTTTTTAGGCAAAAAGTTACTAGGATTCAATTTACAGTGTTGCGATCCCAGTCGATTTGCTGCACACCATATGATGTTACTTAATCTAAAATTGAAATGCATTCGTGACTGTTACCTACTCGTTTAACGCGCGATTTTATGATAGAACACCTGATGTTGTGATAAATGAAGATGCTAAAACATTTTCGAAGCAGACACGTGTAGAGAAAGGGGTGTTTGTATTAATTTTCATTGCGTTTTTTAGGTTAACTTGCAATTAGATATCGATAAAAGCGACATCTAGTTTTTCTCGTTTTAAATTCGTTTTAAACGTTGTAATATCGTGACAGAAAACCAAAAATTCACTAAAATTTAGTTATATTTTCTTTTATTTCACGGTAAATAAATGATACAATTTTTAATCGAATCAAATTGTTTGTTTGTTGAATCGTAAAATAGGTTAGATCAGAAATCGAATTAAAAATGTTGAGAGAAACGTAGGAGGATTCACTAAATAGGCTAATTATTGAAATTACATGAACATTTGGATATCTTTTTGGTGGGATTGAAGTGTCCCACTTTGAAATATTGCAACAACTGCATGCACATAGGCACAGTGGAACTATTTGAATCCCATCATATACAAACAAAATTGAGTTAAACTATTACTATTTTCTTTATAATTTTACATAACGTGATACCTTTATTATTCAAAATAAATCGAATGTAGTTTGATTTAAAATGTTTATGCACAATACAGGGCTATTTGATTAAATCAGAAATCCTGTGATGCGAAAATAAATATTGGATACCAATATAAATAGGAAATTGTTGATTGAATTGTTGCAGGACGAGGTGGGAGGTAGTACGACGGTTGTAGCAGAGGGTGTAATAGGCGGCATAAGGGGCCCAGGCGGCGGGTGCCGCGCATCCTCGATGACTATGGCCGAGAGCGCCGTGGAGGACGCCGCAGCCGCGCCCCCGGGTCCGGCAAAGCCGCCCCCGCCCTCCTGTACGAACAATAATACCCTGGCGGCGACGGCTAATAGGAATCATAGGATTCCAAGAAAGAGGAAACGACTGGCCCAAGTACTCGACATATTGCAAGCCCATCGGAGTTCGCCGTCGGAGGGGGAGGTTTTGAGGTTCGAGGGCAACGGGCCAGCATCCGAGGAAGAGGAGGACGTGTTCAGTTCACCGAGGTCGTCTTCGAGGTCGGCCGTTGACAGTCCGTCAGCTTTGAACATTCAACCTTTGAGGCTTAAGGACGAGGATTCTCCCGTAACGCCAACGGGAGGGGAGGAGGAGGAGGAGGAAGAAAATCCGATGTCCAGTTCGACGACGACGACGAGTACAATTACGACAACTGCAACTGCATCTACCACGACGGCGATTACGACGACAACAACTACAACGGTTGGCGAAGGAGGAGGAGGGGAGGATCAACGAAATCATCATCATCATCACAACCACCATCACCATCACAATCATCATCATCATCATCACAGGAGCCGTCATCATAACAATCGGAACTTACCGTACAATAATAAAACACGGCAGAACCCGAATCAAAAATCGTCCGCGTCGAATCGTTCCTCTTCAACAACGGGCAAGCCGAACAACGGTGCTTGTGCTTGCGCGCAGTGCAGTCAGTCCCCTAATTCGATGTTGCATTCACCGACGTCGCCGTTAACGCCATTGACTCCGTTGACCCCGCTGACACCATTGTCCCTACCACCGCTAACGCCGTACAGCTTCGAACAGTACATGCACACCAAATACCTGCCGGATATATTTCGCGGACGCAGTCATTCGGACACCGATGTGTTGTCCAGCTGGGAACAGAGGATACCACCTGCCTCGACGTCCTCCTCGATGTCATTGATGGTAAATCAAAATCATCCGCTGCGCGGCAGCTCGTTGGAGTGCGAAACGACGATGACGATGACGACGACGACGATGGGGACAACGACGACGAGCACGACGACGACGACAAGTCCGCAGGAGTTACCGTTGGACCTTTCGATGAAAAATTTAATGGCGTCGGCGGCGGCCGCTGCAGCAGCAGCCGCGGCAGCAGCAGCAGCAGCAGCAGCAGCGGGGGGCAACAGACCTCCGGCACTTCGACTATTACCGGCTGGCATAGTGACGAGGGGCTCCGTGAGTGTCCCAGTCGTCAGAGGTGACGTCGCATCACCGACGACTAAGGAGAGCGTTGCCGTGAGATACAACCTTGAAGTTTCACCGGTTGTCGAGGAGATGCCGCCCGGTGCCGATTTAGCTTATGTCTGTCCGGAATGCGGACAGATGTTTAGCCTTCACGACAGGCTCGCCAAACACATGGCCTCGAGGCATCGCAAACAGGGCCCACACGACGCCTCGGCAAAGGCATATCTCTGCGACGTATGCCAAAGGAGCTTCGCTAGGTCTGATATGTTGACGAGACACATGAGGTTGCATACAGGTGTAAAGCCGTACACGTGCAAAGTATGCAACCAGGTGTTCAGTAGGTCAGATCACCTAAGCACTCATCAGCGAACACACACTGGCGAGAAACCCTACAAATGTCCAGACTGTACCTACGCGGCATGTCGCAGGGACATGATCACTAGGCATCAGAGGACCCACAATAAGTTCCTTGAAAGCCAAGGAAGAGCTTCGGGAGCTAGCGGCCCGACCAAAACCGAACCTGGTTCGCTACCATCCGATGGAGCCAGTAGTCCTACTTCTTATGGACAACCCATGCCATCGTCTCCTTCCTCCACTGGGCCCCCCATCAAAACCGAATGACGACGAGCCATTGGACGACCTTGGTTTCTTTCATCATCATCATTACCTCGAGCTCCGATTTCGCGAAGAACTCGCGGACGTACCTCCGTCCTCGCTGATTCTTTTTCGACAACTTTTCGCGAACTCGAGCGTGGAACTTCGCGTCGTCGTAATCAGCGCGAATCTCGACGTTGAAAATAACACAAATGGAGAACACTCCTGTCTCGGACTGTATTATCCCTTAATCCTTCATCCCTTTTTTTCTTTCTTTCTTCCTTCCTTTTTCCTTTTCTTAATTATTCTTTTTCCTCGTACACGTTATGATCGCGTATCGAAGGAAAATTCTAACCTAACCTAAAAAAACTCTCTCGCTCTCTTTTTCTCTTCGATCGATCATCATACTAATCCCCTATAAGCGTATTTCAATCGAAAATTTTTAAGCGTACTACTACAACACACGTGCCAAAACTCTTTTTCCTCGATCCAATTAGATTAATTGTTATTCGGGGGAAAAATTATTAATATGTCCTTTAATCTGAGATTAAATAATTTGACATAACCTATAAGTATAAGAAAACATTCGTGAAGACACACTTTTTTTTTATGCACAGCTAGCTGATTATTTAACGAAAATTCGAGTGTTGTGCCAAATTAGTACAGAATTAATCGAGAAAATAATTATTTTCTCAATCGTTCTCGAGATTTATTTAATTCCTTTTCAAATTCAACCGTTACATTGTTCGATACAGTAACGAAAAAAAAAACATATATATATATATATCTATATAATATATATTTGATTTCATTTTTACGATATATATATCCCATACATAGAGATATGTATATTTTTTTATTTTTATATAAATTAATTCCCACATTAAGTCGTTTGTTATTGGAAATATATTTTGAGATTTACAACGAATCTCTTCCCGAATTTTCAAGAGAGTTTCCATTAAAAATATACAAAATGAAAAATCAATATTAATTAGGCAAAGAGAAGGGTTACAAAATAATGATCGATAGTTAACGAATTGTACCTGCCGAACGAGAGAAAACTACAAGTTGAAAGGTTATATAAAAAACATGTAGAGATAACGTTAATTAGTATGTAATTATTATTATTATTATTATTATTATATTACTAT